TATTATTAGTTTTAACTCCACCAAAATGTTAATAGGGGTCTAAGCCTAATGCTATTTAAAAAAAAAAAAAAAAATTCCTCCAATATTATGGATTACCGCTTCCATTGGATAAATAAACAAGCATAAAGAAGCATTAAATATGATCTTGATCGTTCAAACAATTAAAATTGTTCCCCGTTTTGCAACTCAGATGGACCAAATATTCCTCAAAATTTATCTTTTCTACTTTTTGTTCTTATTGTTTTTATTTGTTCTCTTATTACCCTCCCCCACCAAAATGTATTCTCTTAGTGTTACGCACTGCTCTTCTATTGTGAGAGATTAATCTCCTATTTAAAATGTATGGCTCGTTCAAACAGTGCCTATTAATGGACGATACCGTAGAGAAATACAATAGTAAAGATACGACACTCAAATACAGTTGACAATTACAATTAATACGATTTTTTAAAGTATTAATAATTACAAAACAAAAGAAATATAATTACAAATCATCAACTTACTGAGTATGGTAGATATTGTATCAGTACACAATTGGTACAATTTGACAATTAATAATGTACAATGATGAATGCGATAAATACATAATATGAGTAAACAAATAATAATAATAATTTTCTCGTAAAGATAAAAATATATATCTAAATCCCTCTCAATCTCCGAAACCACTTATTTATATAGTGGGTCTACTGCCACGTCCAGAAATACCATTGATATTGTTTTAGGTTCTTGTCAAATCGAGAAAGTTTCACAAGATACAAGGACACAAACTAACCATGTTTAATTGGTGAACACGACAGATCAAAAGAACTGGCAGAGCCCATCTATGAATGAAGTGTCTGCTAGGAATCTAATTTGGGGTCAAGCAGAGTTTACACGAAAAAGTGTGATACCTAACACGTAGTATGTTGCTTACCAAGATTTGTACAGATATTTAAATAGATTTCCTATTTCCCAGTGAGTGCAGTCTTGGAATGACCGATTACGGGGATAATTTCCAACATATGATAGCACTGACAGGGAAAACATTTAATTCTTAACCAAGGACAATTTTTTTTTAGATTAGAAGGTAACCCAAAAGACTAAATCAGTTGTAACAAGGTATGTCTCATATTACATACATGTCATCCCGTGGTTGATTATTCATTTGATCGCTTGTAAAATTTAAACTAGAAAATAACCCGATTTAGCGTCTTGACAAGAATGTTTTTAGTGACCACCAATTTTACCTTTCTTGTATATGTATTATTTAAAGTTAAATTAATGTATTCTATTTATTGACAGCAAAAAGCCTTTTGTATTTCTGGCTTTTGTACAGCTTTTTAACATATTGTGCTACAGGTGAAAGACATTTAGTTTTCAGCTGTATTGAATTTAACAATGGCGACACATACGACATTTTACCTGGCTGTTTTACTGTAAAAAGTGATGCTTTCTACCTGGTTTGTTGTTATATTGACTAGGTTATGGTGACTTAGAGGATACAGTTGCCAGAAGTACTACTCCCATAGATAATATCGATGAAGATCTGTGTATTTTGAATGTCAAAAATGATGTAAAAACTGGTTGTATGATGTTTATAGATTACCTTCACACGAATGAGCTCTTAGCCTTGAATGTTGATATAAAAAATTGCACTGCAAAGATAACAAAGTTTTCTTATTTTTTTGCTTTAAACTTGTTTGAGCCTAGTGTAATCTTTATAATATAGTTTCTTAGTTGTTGAATTTTGTTGTT